CTGTCAATTATAATGAGTCCTTATTATAATTCCAATAAAGGAAAGCCGTCCCAACAAATTTCACATTGCTCTGCACTCCAGAAATGTGCTCTTCGGCCATTTTGAGGAAATGGCTGTATATTTGCTCAGATGACGGCAAGTGTCAGAACTGCCCTTATGCCTGTCATTAGAGCTAATAAGATCCAAACCCCAAAGCAGAGCCCATGTGCAGCCCAAAGCTATGCAGCCTCATCTCTCCCAGGACTTCAGAGCCTGCCCTTCCCCTCTGCCGTGGCCCATTCTTGGGCGCTGCTGCCACCTCACAGGGCCCATTGCCACTGCTGCCTACTCCCACCGCTGTTCTCACATCAGTGGCTCTCAGCCTTCAAAACCCCCTCTCATCTCCCACCTGCTTTTCCTACTTGACACCCCAGCCACCCACTCCCTAATTCAGTGAGTGGGAGGTTCTTTCTTGTCTGGAATGCCTTTCACCGCATTTCCCCCTGCTAATCTTCTCATTATTTATATCATACTAGAGGCCCAGCACATGAAATTCGTGTGTGGGTACAGTTCCAAGGCCTGGCCTGCGATCAGGGCCATCTTCCCTGGCTGCCCGCAGCTGGCCCTGCCCGCTGCCACCACCCACCCTGGTTCCCCATTCACCATCAGGCGATCAGAGACTGACAGCTGGGGAAAGGGACCAAGAGTTGGTCAGTGCACCTCATAGTGACTGGTCGAGCGGTCATTCTGGTCATTCCGCCATTAGGGTCAATTTGCATATTACCCTTTTATTATATAGGATAGAGGCCTGGTGCACTGGTGGGGGTTGGCTGGCCTGCCCTGATGGGGGCCCCAGATCAGGATGGGGGTCCCCGCTGGGGGGTGGGGACGGCTGGGGCGAGGGGTGGCATGGGGGGTTTACAAGCTGGCGATGCCCCCGATCAGGGTGGGGGTCCTCACTGGGGGGCAGAGCCGGCCGGGGTGAGGGGCTGCAGTCGTTCTGGTCTCTAGTCGTTCTGGTCATTCCACCATTTCGGTCGCTGGGCTTTTATTATATAGGATTTCTAATGCCACCTCCTCTACAAAACTGCTATTAACAGCTTCTCTTCTGATCCTGATTGCTACTATTAATATTAATACCAATAAATCTATAATAATAAAAGCGTAATATGCTAATTAGACCAAATGACCTTCCAGAGGAAGCCAGGGATGTGAGGGAAGCCCAGGTCCTGGGGGCCTGCTGGCGGCTAGAGAGAAGCCCAGGTCCCGGGTGCCAGAGGGAAGCCGGTGTCGGCAGCCGGGGGAAGGAAGGCCTACTCTTGCACGAATTTTGTGCATCATGCCTCTAGTATTATTATAATACTAGGGGCCCAGTGCACGAATCCATGCACCTTGAAAGGAACTGTGGGCCACATGGCTGTGGTAGGCACAAGGGTTGGTCTCGGCCCATCCTCCGTGCCTCTGTCCGGCCCCTCCTGCCGCAACCCCCGGTCTCCTGTCTGCCAGTAGCCCCACTCCCGCCGCCGCAACTCCCATGCGCTGACAGTGCTGGCCCTGCTCGTACCTGCTGACTGCACGGAGCGATTGGGGCTGGCGCCAGCAGCGGTTGCAAGTGGGGCCAGCACCATCTGTGATGTGAGCAGCGGCTGCTGCCCTGATTGCCCCGAGCAGGGAGAGGTGGAGAAGCCCTCAGGGGTGATCAGGGCCAGCAGCCGCTGCTTGCACCTGCTGATGGCACCGAGTGATTGGGATCGGTGCCAGGCACCAGCAGCGGGTGCGAGTGGTGGCTCAGGCATTGGCTGTGAGTGGGGCCGACACTGGCAGTGGGTATGAGTGGTGGCTCCGGCATTGGCTGTGAGTGGGGCCGACACTGGCAGTGGGTATGAGTGGTGGCTCCGGCATTGGCTGCAAGTGGGGCCGACACTGGTAGTGGGTATGAGTGGTGGCTCTGGCACTGGCAGCGGGTGCAAGTGGGGCTGGCACTGGCAGCAGGTGCGAGCGCCGGGCAGGACTGCAGCGTGGGAGCAAAGAATTTTCAGTAACCACCAGAGGCTCGCCCCGATGACAGTGACCGGTGCCCAGCCTGGTCTGGTGCCCCTGCTCACCTGCCCCACCATCCTACTGCGGCCAATGCCCACCCTGTTCCACACACGCCCCCTGGTGGTCAGCACATGTCATAGCAACTGGTTGTTGTTCCGGTTGTTCCACTGTTTGGTCTATTTGCTTATTAGCCTTTTATTATATAGGAGGATGCTTGGCTCACTTCCCCTAGAGCCGTGGTCCGCAAACTGTGGCTTGTGAGCCACATGCGGCTCTTTGGCCCCTCGAGTGTGGCTCTTCCTAAGCCTTAGGAGTACCCTAATTAAGTTAATAACAATGTACCTACTTATATAGTTAAAGTCTAAAAAATTTGGCTCCCCAAAGAAATTTCAATCGTTGTAGTGTTGATATTTGGCTCTGTTGACTAATGAGTTTGCTGACCACTGCCCTAGAACATAAGCTCCTTGGGGCAAGATCTTTGTTTTGTTTGCTGATAAATTTTAAGCTCCCAGAACTATGCTTAGCACATAGTAGGCACTCAGTAAACCCTTGTTAATTGAATGAATGGTTCCTATTTATTGAGCACTTATTATGCAGGGCACTTTTGTGAATTATCTCATTCCATCCTCATCCCGATGAGGAAGGAACTGTATTTATTCCAATTTTTCCTGAGAGGAAACTGAGGCTTAATTGCCCAAGGTCACACAGTTGATACATAATAAAGCTAGGATTTGAGCCCTGATATGTTCAAGCCCTAAATATCCCCATTTACCACCTTTGAGCTTTGTCTACAGTGGTGCTTTGTGTAAAACTTTTCTGTAGGCTATAGTAGGTTTTCAGCAAATTCTCCAAGCAGGTAACACAGTGTCTCAGACATGTTTGTGTTCACCAAATGTTTATTGAATTTCCAAAATGGGTGTGCTGCTCTGGCCAATGTGACTCAGTTGGTTGGAGCATCGGCCCTACACTGAAAGGTCGCCGGTTCAATTCCCCATTGGAGCACATGCCCTAGGTGGCAGGTTGGATCCCTAGTCTAGGCAACTGATCAATGTTCCCCTCCCACCTCTCTCTCTCTCTCTCTCTCTCTCTCTCTCTCTTTCGTCTCCCTCTCCCTTCCTCTCTCTCTAAAATCAATAAAAACACATCCTCAAGTGAGGATTTTTAAAAAAAAAGAACTTTCTAAAAAAAAAAAAAGGGTGTGCTGTTTAAGAGGCAGCATTTGGCAGTGAGTCCTTCTTGCACAATCAGTAATTCTGAGCACTGCCCTGATTGTTGCTGCAAATCTCGGCCCAGATGCTGCCTCTTCTAACCTTTGTTTCTTCGGCACCATGTAGGATCAGGGATGTCCCTGGCTGACCCACCCGCCACCCTGACCCTAGCCCCTGCCATCCTTCCTCTCTCTGCCTGCCTTCCTGCTGTGGGCGCCTGATCACGCAGAGCAAGTTATGCCCCTCCCCGCTCTTCTCTTCTTGACCCCACACTCTGCTTGAACCTGACTGCTTCCCTGGTCATTCGTGACTGTCAGGGCAACATGACATTTATATAGATAATTGGAACGCAGTGCAGATTGTGATAAACACAGAGAGAGTCAGGAGGCACTGGAGGAACTATGAAGAGGAAGAAATGGCGAGTGACATGATGAAGGAAGGGGAAGTGAATTAAGTTACTGTCTTTTTGATTCCAGTAAAAGCTATGAGCCCAAAGGTTGGAATGCAGCCCGACCTCAGGTAGAGATAGAAGTAGACGGAAAAACAGTCCAGGATCTGAGCAGCATTTTCTTTCCATGTCTTATCCTTGCTGTCTGTACATCTGTCTCATTCTGGTCTCTCTGGACCTCCTCTAGTCCACAGACCTCACTGTGGTGTGTGGCTACCAATGGCTACTGCGTTTATACTTGGCAAGCCTATCTCTATCAAAATCACACAGAGTATGACTAACTGCTATGCTATACACCTAAAACTAACACAAAATAATGTTGAATGCAAACTGTCGTTGAAAATTACAATTTAAAAAAAATCACAATTCCCCAGGGAAACATACCTGATTGGCTCACTGCAAGTCAGGCACCCTCCCCTGGTCTGATCACCTGCCACCAACAGAACGGGGTAATGTTGGGCGATTATGGCTGCCAGACCCCCATCTCTGTCCAGGAGGAAGAAGCAGAAAGGACCATTGTAAGTTGAGCGGATGCTCCGAAAATGTCCACTATACTTGGTTGTCTTGTGAAAGAATTCTAGGTGTTTCCCACAAAACAAAGCAAATTAAGAGGCTTCCTATCATGGAGGCTGTTTTTCAAGAACAAATTCATAAATATGAGTCACCCTAAATAACTCAGATGATGTTCCAATGGTCTTTCTACACTAATTGTGTTCATCGAAAGTCTAGGTTCCTGGCTTCAACCAGGTGCCTCTCACACATCTCGATGGCCTGTGAGACCACGGCATGAAAGACAGCCAGGCTGGGCATGGCTCCCTCCTCCAGGTCTTAAACAAATGATACCCAACCCTCCCATCATCAGCCAGGGTTCTCTCCTCATTCTAATGAGCCCAGGGAACCAGGCCGGGGGAGAGAGGACCCCTCCCTTTGAGGGCTGCACACCCCGACAAATTCCGAGAAAGCTAGCTTCGGCCACTGCTCCCTTCATGTGCTTTGAGGTCAGGAGAGGGGACTAGGATAGATCCCTCTTTCATTCTGATCTGGCCTTGCCCACTCGGTGCTCCATCAATCCACGGCTAGGTAGGGATCATTTATCTCAGGCCGAAGTGGGGACGCTGGAGTGAGGGTGCCCGGGCAGATCCGAAGCTGCACTCTGCTCCAACCTTCCTGGACTTGGCCCTGGGCAGCGCGATGTCCCCTGGGGTTGGCCCCCGGAATGGGGGGTCAGGATGCTGTTCTGGAGGACGGATGACTCTGTAACTCTCCTCCTGGAGGCGGCTCCATGGCACCCCCACGTCCCCAGTGACGCCTCTCTGTCCTTCCAGGCTCCCTGGGCACGGCCGGCCGCGTGTGCAACCTGACCTCCCGGGGCATGGACAGCTGCGAAGTCATGTGCTGCGGCAGAGGCTACGACACGTCCCGCGTCACGCGGATGACCAAGTGCGAGTGCAAGTTCCACTGGTGCTGTGCCGTGCGCTGCCAGGACTGCCTGGAGGCCCTGGACGTGCACACGTGCAAGGCCCCGAAGAGCGCCGACTGGGCGGCGCCCACATGACCCCAGTGTCGGTCGCCGTCCACCTTCCCTCCAAGGACTCCCCGGGATCCGCAGGGACACTGGGCCTTTGGATTCTCTCAGGGAGGCGCGTGGCCTTTGTCTCCGCAGAAGCCTGTCCCGCCTGCCTGGGGTCCGGGCCTGGGCCACAGGCTGCAGGAGAGCGCGCCCCGCCCTCTCTGCCGCCAGCTTTCTAGGCACCTCTCTGCCATTTCATGACAGGCTGTTCCAGGGGGAGGGGTGTGGGCCCAGGTCACTGTCTCCACCCGCCAGACGGTTCTTCTTCCCAGAGCCCTTGGCTCCTGAGAGAACCAGTCTCTCAAAGGAGCTTTCCCTGTGTTTCCCACAAATGCTCATGGGAAATCCATGCTTCTCTCTGGAGGGTAAGGTCAGGAGAGCAGGACCAACTGCCACTGAATTAGCTTCAATTTGTAAGACCAAGCAAGGCTTGTGCCCGGCCCGGTGATGGTCACAGCCTCCAGGGGAAATCGGCGATGATCAGGAGAAGGGCGGCTTTCAATAAACGTCAGGGGTAAAATGCATTGGGAGCAGCGATAGCAGACGCCTCAGAAAAGGACGGCCTTGCATGGCTGTCCTCTCAGTATAAAGAGCTTGTGGGGACTGAGACTTCTTTCTCACGTAGGATCGGGAGAGTTGAGAAAACTGACACTCTGCCAGCATTCTGCAACTGGTGGGTGAAGATGGAGGAAAAGAACGTAGTGAATAGAGTATCCGAAAATGTGTTTGTACAGATAAGGAAAAGGGGAGGGGATCAGATTCCTACCCGGGATGATGCCTGTGACCTATGGGAGTTTGTAACTAAATGGCTTGGAGAAGGAGAACTTTGGGAGGATCAGAGCAGGGAACCAGAATGCTGACGGAGAGGTTTCCAGAGCGAAGTCCTGCCCAGACAGCCTCTACCATAAGCAGATGGTTGGCCACGTGTGCAGAGGAGTACAGCTAGGACTCACCACCCTTCACATGCATTTTAAAGACCTGACATATGTAATTGTGTTCATTTCATGCTGACGAGATGACAAAATACCGTAGCCTAAAGCAAATGACACGTAGCCTTGCTTATAAAGTTGGTAACCCTGGTATGCTCTATGGCAAACAAATCATAACTTGGAGACTGTATTTAAGAGGCCCAGCTATCATTATGGGAACATCAGTGTACAGGCTGTGGTTGGCTTCTGCCATGAGCTGAAAGATGACTATCTGGGGGAAACGGAGAGGCTGCCCGTCCCGTTTTGAGTATTACATAAAAAAATGTGAAATATATGAAAGTCCTTCTCATCCCCTCCTACAATTTGGTTCTTGTTCAAAATGTGATCGCTTCACAGAGCTATGTTGAGTCACAGGATGCTTCCTTATGTGCACCTGACGTCAAATTATTAATACTTGCTCATTCTTTACTTCTTTGGCCTCTGGTTTCTCTATCCTTACTTCATAGCAGGACATGTAGACGGAGGCCTGTGGGGAACAACTTGCTGGAGGACTTTATCATAGGAGATAGTCGCCTCCCAGCCCTCTTAACAATGACTGCATCCATGTCTTTTCCCTCCCCACAAACCCCACAACTAGTTGTCTACTTTTTCCAAAGAGGCTCTTGCTCTTTTTATCCTATGGATTCAAAAGGGCAAGAGTGGAGTGTGACAGTAGCTACTCTGAGTTTAGTGGGGTCTGTGGGGAGTGGGAAGGCCAGGCAAGCGGGCTCAGTCCTAGCTACACGGAAGCTTGCTATGAATGCCTCGCTGGGAGGGCAAAGGGACTTTCACGGAATCCCAAAGCCATTAGCCCTTCTTCCTGCTGGATGAACTGTGAAGTAAAGATCCAGGGATGTATTTAGACATGGAAAGGAGCCTAGAGACATCTCAGCTGTCCTCAGTTTATATCTGGAAAACTGAGACCAGGGATCTGTGCCAGTATCAGCCCTTACTCCAGTGCTCCATCGCAAACAGGACCACACTCTGAGTATTCCAGAAAGTTAAGCACTTTATCTATTACATAAAACTAGCTTGTCTCAGGATCAATGCGGTAGATTCTAAATAATTTTAGCATCCAAAGGCAATGTTCCTGGGATGTTTAAATCTGACTTTCTTTTTATGCGGAAGTGCATCCTCCCTGACAAGGAGCAAGGGGATAAGGCATATCCATGTTCACATCTGCATAAATTGTCCTAATTTGTAAAGGAGACTCTGCCAACCATCTGAAGCAGCAGCGGATGTGGCCATTGTGGAGGGCATAAGAGAGTGAAGTATTCTTATCTGCTCTTTCTGAAAGAGGAAATCTCCATTATTTGAAAAAAAATGAGAGGGTGGTGGTGAAGATAATCTCAAATTCAGTTTTGTTAGGGCTTAGTGAGAATTGATATTCCTTGATTGAATACATGGCATAAACTACCCAAAACAAAATAAGAGATTCTATTCAGGTCAAATCCTCTTACAAATTACCTCCCAGTAAAATGTCTTATTTATAAATTGACGTTTTTTAGTCCCAAGACGATATCCATTAATTAAATTCCACACAACAGGAGACCCTAATTCACTGAAGTGTCTTCAATAAAGACAAGAGTCTGCACGTGACTCTGAGACTTAGCAAATGGGTTGTTCTCTTCAGTAGTTTGCCTCCCTGAATGAGCCTGTGGTGCAGACCGATCTGTCTTCTGTGAACACACTTGTCAAGTACATGGCAGTTACAGCCCCCTGGACAGCCTCACGCTCTGAAAGCCTCGATGCCCTGCCTTCAGAGACCAGCCTACCTGCTCAGATGCCTTAAGCTCAAGCACAAAAGCCCCCAGTGCAATTACCACACTCAGCTCTGGCTCTGTGCCCCTTGGGAGGGGGAGCCTGGCATGTTATTAGACCACAGAAGATTCAGGGTGGGTGTGGGAGGGGCATAGGGCACCCCAGAGCACTGACTATCTTATACAAGTGTCGCCACGTTGAAATGAGCATCCCGGAAGCATCTATCAAATGGCAATGTACTCCGCAAGGAGCCAGATGATGGGAAGGGGAGTGAGAGGGAAAGGGCGGGTAGCTGTTGGCAAGTGATCGGCTGAGCACTTGTTGGTAACCTCCACCCTTCCTTCTGCTGTAGCCCCCGCCCCTCCTCCCCTCCCAGCACCTTCTTTGAGGCTCAGAGCCTCAGGCCCTTGCCCAGATCCTCTGTACCTATTGCGTGGCTCTGCTAGAGTCTGTGACATTCATTATAAGAGATGTTTTCAATTGTCCCAACCGTATTTCTTTTCATTGGAGTTACTATGTCGCTCGAAAATGTCACATTTCTTTTTCAAAGAAGATAGCTTTAAAGTCAGAAAATCTACCTTCACATTGAGATTTCTCAATCGTATTAACTTACTAAGAATCTTACCTCAACCCCATGAGACCTACAGTATGGACTTTCTCTCTCCGAGGCAGCCAACATGATTGTGCATGCGCTTGCGCTTGATGGCATTTTCAGGCCAGGATTTTGTTATTACTTCTCATTTATTAAAGGCTGGCCCAGGGCTGGTGTTTTCTCACTCAGCTGAAGAACATTCATCTCCCCTCTTGCTCACTCTCAACATAAAGGCTCAGAGAGGCATCCAATGGACCAGAACCAGTCTTTTGTATTTGTTTACTGTACTTCAACCTGGCTTTTCTTATCTTAAGAGCAAGCGTTGTGCTCTTAACCAATAGATCTCACTGGTTCCAGAACCGGTGAATTGCTTCTGTCAGGTCTGTGCGGACCTTCTGAAGAGCGATGCACGGTGGGAGCTGACAGCTGAGGCGTGCTGATCCTGACCTCCTTCCCTCGGCAGAGAAATTTTCAGTCAGCCATGAGACTGTTCTTTACATTTTTCTGGGGATCAGCGAGTTGACAGGTGGTTTGCAAAGCCCAACATGATCCTCATTTTTCTAAATCATTGTTGTTCCAGCTCTAGGGTTTTTCCCCCCTGATATTCACGTGGACTCCTGTTTAACCAAACCTCCCACTTCCACAAGCTAATAAAAGTGTCACGCAGATTGTTACAAAGAACTATTGTTATTTACAAGTCTACATGTTCTGTGAAATCAAAACATAATAAAGTGACTTTTCAGTGTTGACTTTGTTGTTTTAATCTTGTGATGTCTTGCCAAAGCCTCTGGTGAAAAGAAATCCCTGCAGGTTCTGGGAATCATTCCCTTGTCTTTCTCAGGATCACACTCAACACAACTTGATCAAGGGGTGTCTTTCAAGTTTGTAAAGATTTTCAGGGAAGACCAATGACCTACCTTACTGATAACTAGTCTAGTGCGTGAGTGGGTAAGACATTTAGTGGACTGAAAAATTATTCCAGGTTTCCACCCTATGTCCCCCTGTGGTTATCATGCAAGGGCCTGTGCCCTCTTGGTGCCAGTATGCTTTGGCAGTGCTTGTAAGTCTCCACAGCAGCCAGACACCCCCCCACCCCAGGACTTCTTTGAATCATTGCTTCCCATGTATGTGCTTGCTCCGGTCTGAAATGATAGTTTCAGCTTGATTAAAAACATACAAAACCCCTCTCTCTTTTTTTTGAGATCTGTGAATTCTGATTGTGTATGCTGCTTATATGCATGCAGTGAAAGCTCAGAATATGAAACCTCCCCAGCAAAGGAAACCCATCCCCATTTTCTCCTCCCTGATGAACTGTTTTGGGGTCGACCTAACTAAGCAAGGTGCTTACTCTGCACTATAAGCACCCCAAGGTGGCTCCACGGTCAGACTGCTCACTCTCTCTAGGATTCCATTGTTCCTTCCATGCTCAGATGGTCTGAAGAAGAGGTGGTGTCCCCTGTGTCTGTGTGTTTTGCAAAGGGCATTTCCCCCAAACATTTCTGCCTGAACATTGTCAATGACATTTCCCTGTACCTAGCCCTTTGTGTAAGAGGGCTGTGCTGCTCCTTGTAGGATCTGTAGAAGCTACCCTGGCCCCTACCCATTAGATGCCAGAAGCAATTCCCCTGTTCCCCAGTTGTGACAACCAAACGTGTCCCCAGACATTGCCA